CTGTATTGGGCGGGGGGGGCGCGTGCGAACTGCGCCACTGGGACTTTCGTCGGAGCTCCTTTTGGGGCCACGAAACATTGTGCTGGGTGGGCGGGGCGCATGCGAGCTGCGCCACTGGGGCCTTCGGTGGAGCTCCCTCTGGGGCCGCGAAGCGCTGTCCTGGGCGGAGGGGGCGCGTGCGAACTGCGCCACTGGGGCCGTCGGTGGAGCTCCCTCTGGGGCCACGAAGCGCTGCGCTGGGCGAGGGGGGCGCCTGCGAACTGCGCCATTGGGGCCTTCGGTGGGGCTCCTTCTGGGGCCACGAAGGGCTGTGCTGGGCGGGGGGTGTGCATGCGAACTGCGCCAATGGGACCTTCGGTGGAGCTCCCTCTGGGGCCACGAAACGCTGTGCTGGGCGGGGGGGCGCATGCGAACTGCGCCACTGGGACCTTCGGTGGAGCTCGTTCGGGGGCCACGAACCGCTGCACTGGTTGGGGGGGGGCGCATGCGAACGAATTGCGCCACTGGGACCTTCGGTGGAGCTCCATCTGGGGACAGGAAGCGCTGTGCTGGGCGGAGGGGGCGCATGCGAACTGCAAAGAGGGAGGAGGGAGAAGGGGGAGGAGGATGGAAGGAGGAGAGCGCGGGGCGCTGTCTCTTCAAAACGAGGATCCAACACCACATGATGTTTTTTTTGTATGTATAAAAAAACCCAACACTTCAGGACGATTGGGGAAATCATGTCGTAGAAAACCTTGCGTAACACACACACACACACACACACACACACACACACACACACACACACACACACACACACACACACACACACACACACACACACACACACACACACACACACACACACACACACACACACACACACACACACACACACACACACACACACACACACACACACACACACACACACACACACACACACACACACACACACACACACACACACACACACACACACACACACACACACACACACACACACACACACACACACACACACACACACACACACACACACACACACTGCGTGCAAACACACTGCAAAGCACACTGCGTAAGCACACACTTGCGTTAAAACAAGATTGCGTGAACAACTCGGCGTAACAAAAACATTGCGTATATCAGCACTTCGGTAAACACGCTGCGTTTAAATCGATCCAGTAAGGGAGCGCAGCGTGCAACTTTGCGTACAACACTGCATAACAAAAACATGGCGTTCAACCATTGCGTGAACATTCGCTGCGTTAAAATGACTGCGTTCAAACACTGCGTAGAAACACGCCCCATTCAACAACGCTGCGTGAAACAACAGCACAGTCAAACACTCCTGCGTAATACATGGCATTGAACACTGCGTAAAGCAAGCGCTGCGTTAAGCACACTGCGTAATACAAACATTGTTGCGTTACAGACGCTGCGTTGAACATACTGCGTAAAACAACCCTGCACTCAACAAAAGCACTGCGCAAAATCACTTCGTTAAACACGTTGCGTTAAACACACTTCGTAGATGAATTCAGTTCACGCTTAAAACCAATTCTCGGCCACGAAGCGCTGTATTGGGTGGTAAGGACGCATGCGGGCGGCAGCAGTGGGACCTTCGGTGGAGCTCCCTATGGGCCACGAAACGTTTTAGGGGAAGGCGGAGGGAGAAGAGGAGCAAAGGAGGAGGAGAATGCGGGGCGCTGTCTCTTCAAAACGTGGACCCAACACCACAGGATGGTGGGGACAAAAAGAATCGCTGTCCCCCCCCTATCGCGCCCTTGCAGCTGCCTGTTGTCTGTTTTGCTGCTTTGGGTTGATGGCCGTGCGCTTGCACCCCCATTGCGGGGCGGTTTCCGCTGCAGCTGGCCGTGCTCGGCGTGCTGATGCTGAGTCGACCCACTCCTCCTGCTCAGCGTGATTGCCAGCTTGATGGTGTACTTAGCGGGGAGGGGCCGGCGCGCTGGCGGTTCGTTGGGTAGGTGCTGCGCTCAGTGCACGTCCCAACGTAGGCATTGGGCGCAGCAGCACCGAGTGTGCTTGGGCCAGTAGTGGCAGCGTATGTGGAAGCAAAGCGGCTGATCACGCCACTAGCCCATTAGAGAAGTCGGAGTGGGATCCGGCGGAGCCCAGCCACAGCGGCGGCAGGAAGACCCAGGGGAATCTCCTCAGCCGTTCCATGGTCCAGATTGAGCCTAAAGCCCAAAGGGCATTTGTATTTCATCCTCATGGCTGCAGTGCCCCATCGGGCAAGAGGGTCAAGCTGAATCGTCGCACTCGGGGCGTGACAGGGTGCTTGGATTCTAGCAGGACATTGTGCCAGAGGGGTTTCTGGGAAGCTTCCAGAATTTGTTCCCCACCCGACAGGCTGGCGTCGCTAGATATTATGAACAAACCTCCCGGCCCGCCCACCCTGCATACCGCGGCCGCCAGATCCCCAGGCTCCCGACAATCCCCGGTGGTCCCGTCCCTCCCCCCGCCCTGCATGCAGCGGCCGTCAGATTCCCAGGCTCCTGGTAATCCCTGGTGGTCCCGCTACCCTCCCCCCCCGCAGTGCATACCGCGGCCGCCAGATCCTCAGGCTCCCGGTAATCCCTGGTGGTCCCGCCCCCCCCCCGCCATGCACACCTCGGCCGCCCGATGCCCAGGCTCCCGATAAGCCCTGGTGGTCCCGCCCCTCGCGCCGACTCGCCCACTCTGCATACTGCCCGCGGCCGCCCGATCCCCAAGTCCCCCGATAATCCCTGAGGGTCCCGCCCCCCGCGCACCGCGGCCGCCAGATCCCCAGGTCCCCCACAGCACAGAGCGTAACACCACACTACCGAAGATAACATACCATATCATGACATAACATATTTCGTAACATAGCACACCATGACAGACTGGTGCATACCATAGCACAGCATCACATCACATATCTTCCCATATCATGACGGACCAAGCATACCATCACACATCAACGCCGAACAGAACATACCCAAACATACCATGTCATAACACTGCATTGCATGACATGTCATAACATAGCAAAAGCATAACAATGCAGGCTTTGGCATATCGGATCATACTAGAATGAAATACCAGAGCATACCATAACATGGCATACCACAGCATCACATACTATACCATGGGATGACAAACCACACCATAACACAGCATCACAGCGCATGTCATGTCATACCATGGCACATCATACTATGACGTAGCGCGGCATAGTATGCTATACCATCGCACCGCATAGCATAGCATACCACCATAAGCTATGACAACATTAGTCACACAGGACATCGCATAACACCACACTTCAGAACACACCTTGCGACATGGCCCGACCGCCGCACTGGCCGAGACCACCGCGCCCCGCGCAAATCGTTCCAATGAGCGCACGCACCTTCGGGATCAAACGCCGAAGGTTTCGGTGGGGATCGCTTGAAGCAAAATAATATTGCTCAGTAGTTGCCCATTACTCGAGTGCTAGACCATGGTGATAGATTAGCACTCTGGTCCCACCAACGTGCTAAAGCGCTCCAAAGACTTCGTTTTCGCGAGCGCGCGAGATTCATTCCGTTATGCGCCTTGCGCGGAAGGCGATTGGGCAAAATGGGATGCTGCCGCGACGTTCGTTTGGGCATGTTTTGGTGCACGCTAGTGCCCCGCTCCATGCCCGCCCACTCTGGTGTAAATTGACAGGGGGGCTTACGTTGTCAGTCCCATCGTGTCCTCTGGATTCGAAGCTGTAGTCCGCTCTGGGCGGAAACGCGGGCAGTCATGCGCAGTGCCCTCTGAGTGGCAGAATCCGTGATGTGCACGTCTGACACGACAGCCTGCACCACGGATGGAACAAGTTGCTGAGGCATTTGACCGCGCCCCCAGCCCACTGGAGAGATCCGAGAGCGCTCCAACGGGCCCCATGCGCAGCGGTGGCAGGAAATCCTAGGAGAGTCTCCTCATCCCGCTCCACGGTCCGGTTAGAGCCTACAGATATCTTTGAATTTCATCCCCATGGCTGCACTGCCCTGGGGCAGGACATGCTCTGTCCTCGGGTGGGACACCATATCTCTTCAAACTCCTCCTCTTCCTCGCAGGTCGTCGTTGTTGACACCATAAAGCATTCGCGGAGTCTTTAACGTTTCTTTCAGTCTGCCGGGAAAAGCCCGCGCCGTTGCAAGGCACGCAGCGGTAGGAGGAGGAGGAGGAAAAGGAGGAGGAAGAGGAGGAGGAGGACGTGGACGTGAGGAGGAGGAGGAGAAATTTCAGACGAGCGAGATGGGAGGTTCAGGAATGCCAGGCGAGGGGTAACAGTGGATGACAGAAATGTTGGGGAACTTCGTCAACCAGTTAGGTTGGTCCTATCAGCTGGCTTGCTCCACAGCTTAGTTTTCATACGGCATTACTATTGCGTCTCCTGCTTGATTCTGAAAGGTATGACTGGTTTTTCATCCTTCGGACGATGCAGACTGACCCCTCTGTGAGCCTTCCCACCCCTGCACTCCTTTGCCATTGTTTCCCCCCCCCCCTCTCTCCCTCTCCGCCTCCTCCCTCTTCCCCCTTCTGCCTCTCTGTCTGGTCTCGATCCCTCCCTCCCTCCCTCCCTTCCTCTCTCGCCCGCTCTGCAAGTCGCTTATCGGCCTAGCCCTTGTCCCCTGGCCGCCGACCAGGGCTTTGCCCACCTGGGCCCCTTCGGCCGCGGGGCGTCGAGAGACGTAGCGTGTAGCCTGCTCAGCACTCCGCCCTTTTTACCTCAGTCGCTTTGCGCCGGGGGGTGGTTGTTTCAACGTCCCCCGTACCCCAAGGTGGGCACCACCGCCAAGCGGGCAGTGGCGGCCTTGGCTACTGCAGTAGCCGGCTGTCGACGGGACTCCCGTTTGTTTGTCCGATCTTTCCCTCTCTCTCTCTCGCTCCTCCCCTGCTCCTTAAGAGCGCCAGGCGTAATGTAATAAGCAGCCGCCCCTTGCTGCACCGCGCTCTCCCTGTAGCGATCCCTGGCCCCCCCCCCGCGGGCCCCGGCCGTGGAGGTGATCCTGTTGGCTCTCAAGTCCTCCTTCGTGAAGAAATGGCTCGGTCCTCTCATCCGGCGGGCCGAGTCGAAGACCGCCGCCATTGGTGCTCATGACCGCTGGGTCGGCGTGGCGTCCTTTGTCGGGGTGCCGCTGCCAGGAGGGTGGGGTTGCCGAGTGGATGGGGGATATGCCGGAAGGGGGCAGAGAAAGAGAAAGAGAAAGAGAGGGAGACACGGAGAGACAAACCAAACAATCAGCAGGCTCAAAGAACAAGAGGGGAGACACGGAAGGAAGACAGCAGCCAGCATCAATGACAGACGAGAGGATCGACGAGGGACAGGGCACGGTATGGAAGAGTTATGGTATGTACCACATGGTATTTTCAGGCCGCATCGTCTGCCTCCTCTGGTTTGTCCTTGGCGCCTTCTTTTTGCCTCCTCTTTGTCCTCCTCCCCAGCCTCCATCGACCTACCTCCTCCTCCTCCTCCTCCTACTCCTCCTCCTCCTCCTCCTCCCTCCTCCTCCTCCTCCCTCCTCCTCCTCCTCCGTTGCCATTTTGGCTCAAGGTGGGGACCGGCCCCATTTGAGTGAGGCAGCCTCTTTTCCGAGGCTACCCTGGAGTCAAATCCAGGCGGACACTTTCCCCGCTGGCGTGCTCGTGCCCGAGCCGTCGGCCTTCCCTCGCAGCTCGCCGCCATGCCTGAAGTTGGCGAGGGCACCGCGCAGATCCTCGAGCAGCTCGGGGGGATCACAGGACGATTGACCAGCATCGTATCCGCGCTCCCTGGCATCCACGAGCTCCGCGTCTCGCTCACAGCCCAGGAGACCGCCATGCAAGGCGTCAACAAGCGCATCGGCGTGCTTGAGGCGAACATTCGTGCTTCGTCTGAAGCTGGTGCTCTCGCTGCCCTTCGCACCGATCTTGAGAGCCGCATTGCTGCTATCGAGACATCATCGACTCAGAGCTCAGCAGGGGATGCCTCGACAGGGCCGCCCGCTTCGCGTCGAAGGTTGTCGGCACCACCGAGTCATGTTAATTCGCGTGTTGGGGGATGAGCATGATCCGTGCAAGGTGTGGATTGGCGGCTTCGCGCGACCCATGCTAGCGACCACCATGGAGGCGCATGGTCGCATACTATTCGGTCTTCTCCCTACTCACATCCGTCAGGCTGGCGTGAGCATCAAAGCCCACAACCTCGCCAAGAGCTACTCTATCACGTTCAACAGCTCGCTCGACGCCTCCTCGTTCGTCGACCACGGCAGGGCCCACGGCATCCTGTGGCAGGGCAGCGCGTCTGGCTCCCACATCCCCCTCCGCTGCAGGAAGGATGCCCCCAGCTCGGTCAGGCAGAAGAACCAAGTTCTAGGCAAACTTTGGCAGGCAGTCAATACCCACCTGCGACAAGCAGGCACATGGAATGAGCAGCGTTTCGAACTCGGAGTCAACGGCTTCAGGGGCATCCTCTTCATCGCCGTCGGTGAGGCCGTGCGTGAGTTGTTCACAGTCAAGGAAGGGGACTACGGCCAGTACGAGATCGCCCACTCCCCCGACGGCACCGCCAAGTTCGACATCTCGCCTGAGCAGGCGGGCTCCATCATAGCGACAGCCCGTGCCAGCTGGGGGTCCCCCACGCCGTTTCGATCAGGGTATACGCATTCATCAGGGGCGCCTGGTATGAGGGTTCCGTACCAGCCATGCATGTCCACCTTTGTGTCGAGCTCTTCCTCTTCCGCGTCTGCGGGCTCTTCCTCCACCTCGCCCTGGTCTTTCGCGCCGTCTGGGCCCATGAGGCCCCCGTCTTCGGCTGGGCCTGAGTCTTCCCGCCCGATTCCTAGATCCTGGACACGCTCACCATGCGTAGTCAAGGCACATATCAGTTTTGTTTCCTGGAACGCTCGGTCGCTCTTCGGGGGGGCTCACTGCATGTCTGGATACCGCCAGAAGAAAAATGTCACGCCTAGTAACCTACATCCAGAAATACCATGTCGTGTGCACCCAGGAGGCCAGGGGCTCTTTTCTTGACCTTCAGAGAGTCTGCTCCGAAGTGTACGACTCATGGGATATTGGGTCTTTCTTCGAAGACAGGGCTGCTGGAGGCGTATGTTTTTCTGCATCCGTCGCTCCGCGACGATTTCAAGTACTGCCGATGCGCCGAATTAGTCCAGGGTCGCATCCACTCTCTCACTCTTGCTGGTCTCAGAGGCACTCTTCAGATCTCTAACTTCCGTCTAGATCCTGCCCTTCCTCTCAGCGCACAGAAGCGTCAGCTCATGGTTCTCCGTCGCACTTTCCTGCCCGCCCAAGCTGCTGCAAGTTTTGTGCTCGGGGACTTCAATTTCCCCAGTCAAGGCGAAGGCTCGTTTCACGTCAGTGGTGTTGTCAACTTTTCCAGCAATGATGCTGCTGCTTTCTTCTCCCAGCACTTCGGTGACTTGTGTGGAGTCGAGCAGGCGTCTTTCACGCATAGGGTCACTCAGGAGGTCGATGGTATTCAGAAGATCGTGAGCATGAGCCGCATCGACAGAACATACACAAACATATTCAGCGCTATCCTCCTCGAGCTCCACCCCAAGTCTCTCCCCCTCGTCCCGATCTCGAAAGTAGGACAGCTCTCTGATCACGCACCGGCGCGTCTCACATTATCCCCGGGTGGCAAGATGGGCATCAGAGTTCCTGCATGGGTCCCCAAGCACTCGCACTTCCCGATCTGTTTCCAGGAGCTGCTCGACGCTGTTGGCCCGCTCGACATTGATCCCACCATGCACCGCACTCAGATGAAGGATATCCTTGTTCAGGCGAGTAAGAACGTCCTCCAGCATAGCATCGAGCAGGCCAACAAATCCGACGAGGAAAAGATTGCTTGGTCTCTTGCAGCCCTGCGTGGCACACTGCGAGGTCTTTTGTGGCTTGTCGGCAAGGCCCTGCGCGCGAACCCGTTGCTCGCCAAGTTTCTCTGCCCGCAGTCTGGCCTTTGGGTTGAGTTGCGCGCGTTTCACTCTCACCTGACTGATCTCAAGAATGAGCACATCCAGAATCAGATGTGTGATATTGAGCAGCAGCCGATATCCGACCAGCGTAAGCAAGAAGCCAAGATAAAACTCTTCAGATATCAGTCAGCGCGGGGGCGGAAGCACCGCAGGATTTCTCTTGCTGGCGTGTCCGACCCGACTGGCAAGGCCATAACCGAGCCAGAGCAGGTAGCGATGCATCTTGCCGACCACTGGGGCAAGGTGCATCAAGGTATTCCTGGATCTGTCGAGGACCGACAACAGCTGCGCGAGTTTGTCCAGACCTGCCCCCCCAACATCTTCTGGAAGCTGGAGCGTCTGGAATTTGGGGAGTTGATTTCTCGTACTGGGGGTTCGCGTCCTGGGCCCGACGGCATACCCTATGCCTGCTATGCAAAAGGGGGCGCAGCAGTTGTCGACTCCTTGTGCGCTCTTTACTCCGTCCTGCTCGAGCAGGGCCACCTTCCGCCGGAGTTCAACCGGGGCATGGGCGTTTTCTTTGCCAAGGGCAGCGACCCAGATGACACCTCCTCCCAGATCATACGTAAGCCTGAAACTATTAGACCTATTACCCTCTCCAACTCTGACAACAAGCTCATCCCCCTTGTCATCAATAGACCTCTTTCTCAGGTTGCCTCCCAAACTGTACTTGCCAACCAGCGGGGGTTTATTCCTGGGAGATACATGAGTGAAAACATCATCGACCTCGAGAGTCGGGCAGTTATGTGGCATGCTAATAAGTCTGGGCGCGCGCAAGCTGGTATGCTATACTATGACGCGCGGTCCGCTTTGCCCAGCCTCTTGCATGATATGATCTCCTGGGTCTTAACCTGTATGGGGCCCCGTCTAACATCCTTAGGTGCATTCAGGCCCGGTGCACGGACGTCGCCGTCGAAATCAATTTCTGCGGGCTCCATGGGCACTCCTTCCTGGCTTCTCGCGGGATCAAACAAGGCTGCCCTCTTTCAGGGGCTATATTTTGCATCGCCTTCGATCCGATTCTACGCTACATGCTTACGGGGATCCCTAGTGGCTCTTCTTGGTTGACCGCATTTGCAGACGACGTCGGCGTCGCTGCCGCGAGCATCTTCAGTACCTTTGAAGCTCTGATTCCGTGCTGGCATCTCGCTGGCGCTGCTGCTGGTCTGCGCGCGCATCTCTCTAAGACGATTCTCGCGACCCTCGGCAGCCTCAGCGTCGCCGAATGCCAGCAGCTCACGCGCGAGATAGGAGTTCGCCCTGACAACCTCAATTTCGAGCATCTTGGGAAATGCTTAGGGATATTCCTTGGGAACGGTGGGTGGAATCTCTCTTGGCTCGCCCCATCCAGCAAGTGCATTTCGAGGGCTCAGGATGTCAAAAGTGTCGGCCTCGGCCTCTGCAAGTCCATCGTGTGCTTCAACCTTCTCTCCTTCTCGGTCCTCTCACATGTGATGCAGTTTTACCCGCCTCCGAAAGCCGCGTTCACGGCCGTCAGAGAAGCCCAGCAGAGTTTAACGAACGCCCCGAACAATAGCCTGTCCCAGGGGATCCTCCAGAACCTCGAAGAGTGGGGCTTCCCAGCGCAGGCCGGAGCTCTGGCGCCAGCTGCACGTGCAGCCAAGCATCGCACTGCAGTCATGTCCGCGGCGTTCGACCACGCCAAAACAGCCATCGAGAGCGACGATGATGACTCTATATTGTGTTGGCAGCGGAATACTGTGTATCAGGAGTCCTCCATCTTCCATCCCATCTCCAACTACAACACTCTGTCTCAGATCCCGACCATGCCTGTCTTCGGAGTTTCCAGATTCCAGAGTCGATCTGAGTCCGCCCTGAGGGCCCTTTCTCCTTTCCCCCATCCGCTCTGTCCTTCGTGATCGTCTGAGCAAAGTTGGCGTGGTTCCCACTCCCGACCAGCTTGACCTCTTGTCTGTCGCTCTGAAGCGCGTCTCTCGGTTAGCTCCCACTTGTGTGTCCAGCAGTGTTGTCCGCACTGTATGCAATGCCTGGTGCACCACCCGCCGATTTCGAGGCGCCACCGAGCCGCGTCGATTCTGCCACCAGGCCAGTTCAGATAGTATGCTTCACACTAGTTTGTGCGTGCACGTCCCATGTTCTGCCCCTGCTTCCTAGTCCCCCCCCCCCCCCCCGACTGCCGTGCTCACA